CCTCTCCTCTGTCTCTCTGTACTACTCACATATGGCCTGACTCTCTTTTTTGCAGGCGAACGTACAACAGTTCAGAATCCTCAGAGACCAGCAGTGCAATTCCCCTGCGAATGTATCGAGGAGGTGCGGTATGAGCAGAGGCCCTGCATGTCTTGTTTGGACAGGCAGAGTGCTTACAGGCTCTGTTGGGTCCTTACAGGATCAAGGGAATCAGACATGGCTGGCACAGGGAACAATACACCTTGGAAGAGAAAGAGACCTGCATTAGCAGGAGCAATCTAGGGTTTGGTGGGGTCCTGACCAGTGCAGTGCCAACTCAATCCTAGCAGCAGAGCTCCAGGACCAGCCATCAAGTGCATGCTAAATTCCTGTCCTCATGGTCTCCATAGGTGTGTGCAAACTGAACACACAGATCCCAGTGGAGGAGCTGCTAGAGGCTGTGAAGAGTTTTAAGAGGGCAGAAATAGAGGCAGAGCAGACAGAGGATGAAACAGACAACAGGCACAGTGCTGGGCGTCTGAGAGAGTATCAGGTCTGGTTTAACTTTGCTTTCCCACCTGGCTACACTGGCCACCCAGCCCTCATCCCTTCCTTCAGTGTGTGATGGAGTTGGCCTTGGCCAGCCCCACAACACATGCCAATGCAGCGTGTTCCTCTGCAGCAACTGTCCTCCACTCTGTTGCATCCCTGCAATGCTGGGAAGGAGCTGTGTAATCAGAGCAAGAACCGCTACAAGAGCATCATCCCATGTAAGCAGAGGTCTCCAGGGGTTGGCACAGGCACTTGGACCTGATTGGGCAGGCAGGGTGCTGGGCAGCTGTAGGTGCCTCTCCAGCTATTCAGCAATCCTGAGCTGTTTTCTCACATCCTTTGTGGCCAAAGGGATTTTCAAAATTGTCACATTGGCCACACTGGTTTATATCCAGTTGGAGAATCCTTGTTCTGCTCCTCAGAGCTCCTTGCAAGCTTAATCATTCATAACTGTATTCCTGTTCCTGCTGATAGTCATTTCTGAACTCTGCCATGCCCCATCCAGAGGTGACTATTTGTGGGAAAATGGAGGGAATGATCTAAATCCTGTAAAATCCACTGAGCCCCACATGGTGTGGACATTAAGCTGTTGCGGTCTTCCCCAAAATCACATTGCATTTCCTGCTGTGACATGTCACCTGTTGTCTCATTAGATGTTCTTTACCTCTGAACATGTCTTGAGGCCTGGAGTGCTGCTGAGGAGGGAGCAGACAATCCTAGATTTCCCTAAATTACATCCCCCTCCTCAAACAGTCACTTTGTTGCTGCTCCAAAGAGACAGTCCACCAACTCCCACATCCCTTCTCTTTCAGATGATCACTGCCGTGTGGTGCTGCAGCCCTCTGGCCCAGGGAATGACTACATCAATGCCAGCTATGTGGATGTAGGTAGTGAGGAATTGCTGCCCTGAGCAGGGTGGAGGTGCCTGGGCAGGGTAGGCTGTGCTGGGTGTGCTGGGTGAGGACACCCCTGCTCACATGGGTGGCCCTGAGTTCTGGCACTTGTGATCTTGGGATATCACTTTCCTTGTGTCCTCTCTGCACTGCCCCGGAGCACTGTGGGTTTGTGCACAGTTCTCAGTCCTAAACAAACAGGACTTGTGTGAGGGGACAGAAGCTGGGATGCAGCCCTTGGGTACCCACTCTCCGTGCTGTGGGACATGCTGTGCTTTGAGCTCTGATGCCGGTGGGGATGAGTCTTTTGTTTCATACTCTGTTAAACATTTAACCCATGTGATTGGAGCTGTTTGAACTTCTCCCCCCTGCAGAGCTACCGGAGTCCACGCTTCTTCATCGCAGCTCAAGGTGGGTGTACCCAGCCCTCATGCTCAGAAGATGCCAGTTGCTGCTCTGAGCACTTTGGAGAGTAGGCAACTGGGACAACAGCCTAGGTGCTATTAATGGCTCAGTCCAATGTCCTGTATCTCCTGGGACAGTGGTTATGGCTGCTGCAGAGCATAGAAGGCCTCAGTGGCAGTTTGGCTGTCTCCAGCTGGAGCTGGTCCCAGCAGTGCCCAGGCTGAGGACATGGTCATTCCACCCACAAGCCTTGTTTATTCTCTTTGGAGTCTGACATGACAGGGACAAACCTGTAGATGCCTGACATGTCTGCACTCAGTGTAGTCAAAGATGGGCCCTTTCCAACAGCACAAAGCTGGGATGGGTTAGTCTGCTCTGTGCAGCATGTGGTGAGGAGGTCTCAGGCTCCTTGCAAAGCTGCAGAAATGCTCTTCAGAAAATAAGATCCTAAATGTGGGAGGAGCTCACAATTGTCTCAGGGGTCTTGATGGGGAAGCTCCTGAAGCAGCAGTGAATCCTTGACATATCCTGGGATCACCTGCCCTGTGTCTTCGTAGTCCCAGTTTCCAACACCGGTGATGAAGCCAAAGTGCTTGGCACCCTCTGCCAGGTGCTTCCATGCCCAGGCTGTACAGTGTCAGTCCCTGGGCAGAGGAAGGCTCAGGGCTACTTGTAGCCTGGGAACATCAGAGCTGTGCCTGGAAGCTGCTATGTCCCCATGGCTTGGACACAGGCACAGGGCTCTCCTCTTCCTCCCCAAGGCCCCTTGCCTGGGACAGTGGTGGATTTCTGGCAGATGGTCTGGCAGGAGAAGACCTCAGTCATTGTGATGCTGACTGGCTTAGTGGAGCAGAACAAGGTAGAGAAACCATAACAGCCTGTGCTCAGCTTGGGCCTCTGCAGAGCCCAGGCTTCCTTGCCTGCTTTGCTTGGTTATGCTTTGCTCCCAGAGCAGCAGTTATTGAGGGCAGAGAGCAGCTCCATGCCACTGCTGGCTTGCAATGCTCCCCTCATGAGTTTGCTCATGCTTAGTGTTCTTGCTGCTGTTGACAGACCAAGTGTGAGCAGTATTGGCCAGAGCAGGAGCAAGTCTATGGGGACTTCACTGTGACACTCAACAACACCAGGGCCACCACAGGCCTTGTCACACGCATCTTCTGCCTGCAGAAGGTAAGCCTGGCACGTAGCTGAGATGGGGATGCAGGATGTTCTTGGGTATTTTTGCAGCTGGTGGGAGCTGTTGGCCAAGAGATGCTGTGGGAAGCTTTGCCTGGTCTCCAACACTGTCAAGTCAGCATTGCTATTGCTGGATGCCATTGGTCCCAGGTTTGTGTCAGGCAAAGGCAATTGGTGAGCTTTTGTGGTCACCCCAGCTGAGTCTGGACCGATGATGCATATGGGCAGATTGTGCATCATTGAGGTCTTGGATGAGGTTATCACAAAGGCCATAAAAGCAGTTAAAGGATATAAAACAGCATCTCTGTACATCCAGGATGATGGGACAGGTGCTTGCCTGTCACCTGGACCGGTCTGGATAGGCTCCACGTTGAAGCTCTGTGGTCACTTACAGATAGTTCATGGTTTAAGATAACTTACATAATGACATTTCTAAATACAGGTACTTCTGCTGGAGTTGTACCTCAGATAATAAGCAGAAACTGAAGGAGGTGCAAAGAGGGGGAAACGGGCAATATCAAGAAACAGCAGTTATGCATATTTCTGTCTTTTATTGTCTTGCCCATAGTAAAGTCTGGATGAAAGGTAAACCTCTGGAGCATCTGATGGTGGGACATAGTTTATTAGTTCACTCCAAGTAAATTTGATGTTTAGGGGAAAACACTAGATGGGTCAGTAATGAAACTGTGTCCATTCACACCAGTGCATTGCCAGCCTTGGAAAATACCTTATGTGGGGAAGCCGGGGGTTTTTGAGGACCATGGAAACATTCTGCATGGTGACTTTGGTTTTTTCCTTTGGGACACAAGCTGCATCTGCTGCTCTGAGTTCACTGCTCACAGCATGGGGCAGCGAGAACAAAGTGAATTGTGTGGCTGTGTGCTGGGTGAATTTTCCCTTTGCTATCTGATGAGCTATAGTGGAGCAGTCATTGTGGCTGAGGTGCTGGAGAGAATGCTATCGGTGCCCCCCTGAAGTGGTTTTCTCCACTGCTCCCTACTTGCTGGCAGGCAATTACTTCACACAAGTTTCAGGGTTGGTTCCTGCTCCCTCCTTCAAGCACTATCTCCCTCTTTGCAGGCAGGCTGTGCTCTCCCAAGAGTGGTAGAGCAGTTTCACTACCTGCTGTGGCCAGACCACGGGGTACCTAGAAACCCTGCGCAGCTCCTGTGCTTAGTGGAGGTGGTGAACAAGAGAGTGTTGGAAACATCTGCGGGACCTGTGCTGGTGCACTGCAGGTACTGAGGCTGGGTCCCCTTGAGTGCTGGGGCAAGGCTGGCACGGGCAGCACCGACCCCCATTTCTGTCTCCTTAGTGCAGGAATTGGGCGAACAGGCACATTCATCGCCTTGGACTTCCTCCTGAAGATGGGGAAGGCTGAGGGGAAGGTGGATGTATTCCAGTGTGTTCAGAGGCTGCGGGAGCAGCGGGTCTGCATGGTGCAGACCAAGGTGAGGAGTGTTACCTTCTTGCACATTGTCAGGCCACAGACGTGCTTCACACCCTTCCCAGAGATGTGGCATGCGATGCCACACTGGCCATTTCATTCATGGTCAGGCCACAGGGATCAGAGCTGACAGAGACTGCAGGATCTTGTTTTCAATGATGTGTCCAGATCTAGTCAGTATCCAAGTTCCCCTGTGACCCTCTGAGGTGCCAGCAGCATTCATGTGCACCAGTCATCCTGGTATAGAAGGGCTGTCTTGTAGGCAAGAAGCATGAGTAAGAGTCCGCATGTCATTCAGGCTTTCAGAATGTCTGCTCTCATGTCATTTTCTGGGCAGCTGTGTCCTGGCTGAGGGACTATGTCCCCATGATCTGCTCTGTGCTGACACCCTTTGGAACTAGGTTGAGCAGGACCATCCAGCTGCTTGTAGGCCTAACAAGTTCACTGGTTTTGTGGGTCTCCTTCCCAGAGTGGGAGTCTGGTCTGGGAGGGAGCATTAAAGCACAGGAAGATGGCCTTTTTGGGGTTGTTGCAGTTGCTAACTGTTTCTCAGAGCGGGACTGCCTGCACTGAGAGGTGTCTGGTCTTGGGGTGCCACAGCCAGAAGGTGAAGGATGGACCTCACTCATTCCTGGCACAGATCAATGCCAGTGAGCTGCTGGTCTGGAGTCTCAGGGCTCCAGATTGTGCAGCTGGCCCACATCCTCATGCAGGAGCAGTACACTTTCCTGTATGAGGTGCTGCTTGAAGGCTTGCTCTGTGGCAACACCAGTGTCCCAGTAGAGAGCATCGCCAGCCATATCTACGGCCTTCAAGAAGCTGAGACCTCAAAGCACGACAGTGTCCTTGAGAAGGAGTTCAAGGTACCACCAGGGTCTGGTGCACTGGGTCTGGTGCTGTGGAGGCCGGTCTGCTCCCTTCCCTAGCTGTGGGATGGAGGTGGGGGAGCATTTCTCTGGGTTGTCTGAAGAAGTGGAGGGGCTGACAGGCAAGACTTACTTGGCTGAATCATCCTTACAGGCCCTGCAGAAGTTTTCTGAGTTGTTCCAGCTCCTGCCATGCAGAGAAGCAGAGAAACCCAGCAACCAGCCCAAGAACCGCAAGCCAGGGATCCTGCCAGGTACTGTTGGCGTGGGGGCACAATGCTGCTTCCCCCTCAGCACCATGCTGCTGGCAGGTTCTGCCTGGGCCCCCATCATTATTTTCTGGCTAGCAATAAATATAGGTTAGTTTGGTCGCTCCATGAGAGCAAGACCCCATCCCTGGTTCTTTCTGAGCTTGCTAGAGGCATGCATTCATAGGGTGCACCTGGGATAAACATGTCCCTGGGTCTCATCTCTCCCAGTGGAGGAGCCCAGATGAGGCATCAGGAAACAATGATGACCATGGACAATGATGACTGTGGAGCTTCTGTGCCTCTGTGCCTCTGCACGGGGGGTTTTGGACATCCCATGCCAGACAGCTCTGAGCTGTCATGGCCACGGGGCTGGTGGTGCCGGTTCATACGATCCAGCCCATGCTGCAGGGAGCTGTGCTGACCCACCCCTTTCAGGGGAAGAGCCCCGTGCCTCTGTGCACGGGTAGGCTAGCTCATCATTTTTCTCTCTGCTCCTTGCCTCCACAGCCGATTCCTGCCGGCCCATCCTGATGTCCTCGCTGAACGCAGACGGCTTTCCAGGTTACATCAACGCCGTGTTTGCCAACGTAAGGCTCGGGAGCAGCACAGACACCCTCTGTGGCAGGGCTAGACCATGTCACCCTGGGCCGAGGTGTTCCAGCCCTGGGGCTTCTTTCCCGTGACTCTTTC